CCAGAACAGGGAGGAAGTAAATTTCTGTCATGTAAGGGACTCAGTCTGTGGTATTTTGTTATGATGGCCTCAGCAGACTAATGGCCTGCCATAGTAAAATTTTATCTGAATATGGCTAAAGGCCCTTCATTCAGGATGTGTTGAGGGCACTGGAAAGAGACTGTCTGAGGAAAGCGAATGAAAGCAGACAGAGATTGATTGGGAAAACCCAGACGTTGGCTTAAAACTGGCTGGTGTCTCTCCTCTCCCTGCCAAGTCTCCCCCGACATATCCAGCCACTCAGGGATGAGGAGATGGAGTCTAAAGTGAGGATTTATATATTGCAGTCATGTACTCCTGCCCAGATCTCTGTATGTCTGCATTGTACCCTTACAACCTTGATGACAAGGGTAGGGTGGGTGTGACAGTCTGCAGGAGTGGGGGAAGGGGTTGTTCCAGATGATTGTCCATCCCCATGACTGAGCTGAGGTTGACCAATGGCATAATGGCATTTCGAGGGCAGGCTTGATGGGTGGCACTGGGCTGTGCTATCGCTTTCACTACCACCAACTTGGGTAGTGTATTAGCATCATAATGATAGCTGTTGTAACAAACAGCCTCCAATCTCAGTGATTTCATATAACCAAGTTTCATTTATCACCTACCTCACAGTCCGGTGCTGGTCCATGAACCTTGATGTTGGCCTCTCTGAGCATCTAACTTCCTCCATAGAGTGGGATCAGCTCCTGGCTTACCTTGTGTTTCTTACTTGAATTCTCCCTTTGTCTTGTTCTGCCCTCCACTCACTTTAAAGTTGTTTTATCTTATTTTCTGTGTCTGTGCAAGACACCCCCAATCATGCCTGGACAAAGTGATGTAAATAAATGTAGCAAACAACATTGCTCCTCCTGACTCCTGTGGTCAAGGTAGCTTTAGAACCTGGTAGGTTAGTCTACAGTCATCATCGGGGCAGGATGGCAGGCTACCTTGCAGTCCCCTGGGGACATTTCTTGGAGTCCATGGGTGGCTCCTACTAGCCCCTCCCATTGCTCTCACCTGTTTGCACCTCCCTGGAGAGATCAGAGTGGATTTCTTCTGTTTGGCTTCCACAGTGCCCCTCTCCCCTGGTTCTCCTACTTCTTTGACAATTTGAACTTGGTCTTCTTTGCCATCCTCTTTTCCTGTACTCTGTGGGCTTGGAGCACCTCCACCTCTTCTCTCTTTACATTCTCTTGCTCCTAAGGAATTGCATCCTCTGGGGGTGACCTTGGACCACTGTGCGACTGCAGCTTTGTGGATAAAATTTCTTTCCCCTGCCTTTGAAGGCACATTTCCTTGAATCTGCACCAGGAGGTGGCTGCCAGGAAGGGATTTTATTAATAGATTTGCCTTTGAGTCTGGGAAGAGAAGGACACCTAACAAGTTACTGCTGGGCCCCAGAGCTTTCCACATTTTCGATGTTGTGCCTTTATCCATACAGGGCTTAATCTTAACTTTGGGAGACATTTTTTGACATATTTCTCTCATCGTTCCAGACATCACAACTTGTTAGATGCCCAATTATCAATGGCCTATGCAGAATGCATGCTTCTTCCTAGTATCATCCAGGCCTTTCTGAAATTCTCCTATTCCCTGAGCAGCTCATGTGCTGTGGGAGAAACTATCTTCCCTGCAGATACAGCAGGGGACCTTGTTCAACTCACATTAAGTGGCATATTCCATTTTCTGACTCTATCATTGGTTCAGGAGTAAACCTTTTTGACCCAAGACAGTCCAGTCAAAGTTAATCTGAGCACTCCTATCTGGAATGCTAGGGTAGACATCCTCCCATTCTCCCTTCATTGGATATGAGTATGGAAGCATGAAGTCACAATGGTGACTGGCGGCTATTTTACCACCAGGAGGAAGGCTGGTTTGGAGATGGAGTTGATACTCCACTGGCAGAGTGAGGAACAAAAACAGCTCTGTTCTTGATGATGTCATTAAGTACTGACTCAGACCATTCCTGAAGTCACCCTGTCTCTTGGCATTCCTGTGGCAGAGGACAATAAGTCTTATTTGTTATTTAGTCCAGATTGAGTTGGGCTTACTATTACTGATAACACAAAGTGTCTTGATATGCCAAATATCTTGCACCAGAATTACTTTCTGCTTTGTTTTTCTGTGTTGATCATATTTGTTAATGTTGAGGATTGCATCTACAATATTATGGTCAATATTTATTGAATTTCCTTTAGGTGCATTATCTTATTTAACCCTCGTAACAACCCTTTGAGGTAGATTCTCTTATCCTGACTTTAAAATGAAGAAACCAAGGCTCAGAGAGGTGGAGAAACTGGTTTAAAGCCACATGGGCAGAAGAAAAAGGTCCTTGACTGGAAGTCAGGAAGCCTGATGACCAAAGAACACTGAGCTGTGCCAGTTCAGACCAGTTCAGAAATAAGTCAGGCAGTGGAGATTCTGCCCTGACCACTCCCTTCCAGAGGTGCCTGAGCACAGTGCTTTAAGGGACAGAAATCACAGTAGCAATGGCAAGTGGGAATTCTAAAGTGTGAATTGGGTACCCATATGATGTGCTCCAAGTCAGTTAACAGCGACACTTGTCGCGCCACCTACTGGCCAGAGCACTTTTTCTTTTAGTATTAGCTAAGACACAGATTTCTTTCCAGTGTGATTTACCCTTTTTCTTTCATTCAACACATTGAGTATCTACTATGATCTAGGCACTAAAATAGTTACTACTGACATAATAGTAAGCCAACACAATCCAGTTCTTGCCCTTCAACAAAAATACTTTCCTTGCAATTCTTTTTTCTTCTTTGTTTCTCTGTTGCAAAATTCTCACCACTAACAAATCACTGTAAAGGAGCAGCGCTAAAGTCCTGTATCCCATTTCCAAAGTATTGGAAAAGTCATTCCCTTGGGGAGAAGAGAGCATGGTGTAAAAGGTGATTGATCCTGTCAACTGATCTTGCAGCAGGTAAAAAACTGATACCACAGGTTCAGTTTCAGGGGCTGACAGGAAGGTTCAGGAATGCTCCTAAGAGGGATTATTTGCCACATGCATCAAAGGTGATACAATCCTTCCTATCACACTTGAATTAAATTTTTTGTTTTAGGCTTGGTGTGTTTTCTTCTATTCTACTTATGAAATACAGGCCTTAATATTTGTGATTGGAAGTTTTGAAGAACAGAAAGGAAAAATAAAATGCTAGAAGTACATGATTTTCAGGAACTGACCAACCACTGAGAGATTCATCTTAAGTTTTTGTTTGCTTTTATTTTTGCAGTTCTAGGGATCGAACCCAGGGCCTTGCACATGCTAGGTGAGCACTAGCCCAAGAGAGGGGTTGGGAAGCTATCAGTCTGGGGATGTAACTTGGTGGTAGTGCTTGCCTAGCATGTGTGAGGCCCTGGATTTGGTTCTTAGCACTGAAAAATAAATTAAAAATCAACAAATAAAAGCTGTAAATATGGGCTGGGGATATAGCTCACTTGGTAGAGTGCTTGCCTTGCATGCACAAGGCCCTGGGTTCAATCCCCAGCACCCTCCCCCCCCCCAAATAAAAAGACTGTAAATATGCTAGTTGTAAACTACCCATAACATTAAAAAGTATAAAATAATACAATGTCCAACAATAAGAAAATGTTAAGTTCATTATACTGTAACTGAGTAATAAACAAAACTACTTTGTTAGATGAAAAATACTTGTGATAAACTATAAATAAAAAATCAAAGTTCAAAATTGTGCACACTGATTACAACTATGTAAACCTTATAAGTGAATAAAATTCATATTTTTGTAAGTAAATAGAAATACTCAGTAATAAAGTAGAAGTACTATATATACATATATGTATATACACACGTGTGTGTGTATATATATATATATACACACACACACACACACATGTATTTGTTTTAGATAGTTTCGACTCTTTCACGGGAAGAATATATTGTATTACTTGAATACATTTTTTTTTAAATTAAAGGAAGGCAGCACAGCACAAAATACAATAGGTGATCAGATCAAGATTCAAAGTCTGAACTGAAGCCATCCAGAGAAAAGAAAAAGGGATAAAAAATAAAGTTCTGCATTTATGAGCAAAAATGAAAAAAATTTTTTTAAACCACCAGATATTAGCTCAGTGTTAACCAACAGGGTGAAATCAGCTGGAGACACGGATGAAATCCAGCCCGAACTCTGGATGTGAGATTAAGCTTTATCCATTACTTGGTCAAGGCCTTGAATATAATGTATTCAATAGGTGCGCAGCTTGGTAAATTTTTTCTTAAAAAAAAAAAAGTAGAAGTGTGGGGGGGAGGAAATTAAATAGCTGGGTCAGGCAGCAAAGACAAACAGGAAAAGAGCTTTGAGCCCAGTGTTTGGAGACCAGATATTTCTCCTCAAAGGAAGAACCATCCTGGCTCAGGTTTTCAAAGGTATCAAGAATAGACGGTTCTCAGCGGATTTGGAAGCTAAGGAACACTCCACAGGGGCCTTCTCCATGCTATGTTTGGAAGCAGCTCTTCTCGCCCCAAGACTGACTATCATCAAAACAGCCTTCTCTTTCATCCTCAAGGCTTCCGGTCAAGCACTAGTCACTGCCTCCAGGGGGAGGATGCTCAGAGCTGTACAGAGAGCAGAAGCAGGGATGCTCGAGGAGCGGACTATGACCCAGGCGGTCACATAGTGTGCCTTCTGCGGTGGAAGATGCTGGAATGGTTCGGAAAGATCCTAACGGTGATGCTGGCTATGAGCAAGCAGTCCGCCGCGAAGGCACGGTAATAGGACAGGAGTCTCCAAAGCGCGGCCGCTCTGGGCCCCCTGCTCGGCTAGGACCCGGGCCACGGTTGCGGCGGCCCGGCCCGATTCCCAGCCGCGGTATCCTCCCGAGTCAGACCCACCACGGTCCTCTAGTAAATCTGCAGACAGTTTCCAAAAATCCCACTTCCTGGCGGCACCAAATCCCGCAACCCCACAACCCACGGCCTCCGGCTCCTACTTCCGCCGGAAGTAAGCCTTGTGGGGCGGGGGCGCTGCGATGACGTCACCGGTTTGCCGGAAGTCTCCTGAGGGCGCCGGCTTGGTCCCGGCTTTGTGGTGGAGGCTGGGGGTAAGGTTGCTTCTGCGGGGTTGTCACCCCTGCTTGCTCAGGGTCTTCGGTCCCCATTTTTGAGCCTTCCCCCTCTCCCTGGTGTGTGAGAGTGCCTCAGTGCTATCTCCATCCCGCCCGGGCGCCCCTGTGTCTCCTCCAACCGCTGCTCCCTGCGTTCCTCCAAGTCAGCTGTCACCTGCTCCCTTTCCCGGGCCTCACCTGTCCTTGCCCGGCCTGCTACAATTCGCTTCCGAGCCTGCTGCCACCTGCCTCCCCCTACCCCCTACGCAGGTTCCGGCATCCGGGGAAAGCTCGGGCCAGGCCTGGGAGCCTCGGATAGAGAGTTCTTGGCCTCGCTCTGCCTGGCCTCCGGCGTGGGTGCCTCAAGGGTAGGGATAACGAGGGGTAGACCCAAGGCTCCCGGCCTATTTTTTCCTAATTAGCTGTTTCTTCAGAAGTCATTATAAGTCGTTCACGCCTCGGGGGGCTCAACATCCCCTACTTGCAAATCCTTTTCCACAATGCATTCCGCTGCCAACTCCAACACTTATCTCAATATGCGAATATTGAACCCATCTGTCGTCTCTGCAGTCCGATCCGACCTCCTGAAGGAACCACGGCTCCTGCAGTTTTGGATGCTGCCTGTTGTACCAGGGGCACACCACTTGCGAAGCGGATCTGCCACCTTAAGTCTCCGTGGATGTTTGGAAAGAGGAATGCCCGAGCCACCAGCTGATAAAGCATACAACCAACAGAAATATGTAGGCGGGAGACTTTGAATTACTTCATGAGTGCGAATTGCTGCTTTTCGTTCCTTGTCATATCATGAACAATTTCTAGTTTGATTATCTCAAGTTTCAATCCCGGTCCAGAATCCTGTCTGCGAAGAGCCAAAGTAACCACTTCCAGTTTCTTAATACAGGTCCATATATTGTTTCCTATGTGTGATCCCTGAGAGTTGTGGTCACTGATCTGAAGGGGTACTTCATAGAACATGATGCCTGGTGCTGGGTGTAGGCCCCCTGACTTCCTCCAGGAGCTACCTGTTTGGATGATGTTGTCATCAGATTTTGGGGAGTACTTTCTGTATCAGTATCTATATGAATATTTAAGGAAGTAAAAGAAAGATTTGTTATTGTGGGAAAGGAAGGTGTACCCACATTTTTCTTCACTTTATCTTGGAATTTGCAGGCAGGAAATGCCCCAAAGGCAGGCCACAGTGTTCATCTTGAAAAAGAGAGCTCAGGATGATCTAAGAGGCCCCAGTGAAAGTAGTAGGGCTCTGTGGCATGTGCCTGAGGGCAGGGAATTCTGTTTTGAGAACTGGAGTTGATGTCTGAGAATGTGTACCATAATGTAAATCCCTCAGTAGTAACTAGTCATACTCTTTCTGTTCCTTTACAGCCACCATGATGGACTTCCTGATTCTCTTCTTGTTCTACTTGGTGTTCATGCTGGTTAGTGTTGTTATGGTCTGCATTTGCTCCAAAACCCACCGTTTGAAAGGTCTGGTCCAGGGAGGAGCACAGGTAACACTCAAATTTGAACATTGCCCTAATCTAAAGGACTTACTGGTTTCTCAACAGGACAAGAAAGAGATGCCATTTAAATTCATTGGTTTATTTAGTCTTTCATTTATGGAAGTTTTAGTGTATTCCACAGTTTATCTGTTTTGTTTTTGTTACTGCTGAAAGTAATCTTGTGATGATGCTCTGAGATAAGATAGCATTCTTAAGTTTGGCTCTTAAATTCTGGATGTGATGCCTGTAATTGGGCATAGACATGAGCAGAATTCTTCTGGAGGTACTTGATAGGTGAAACTGAGGATGTGTGCTCTGAAAGCTGAGCTTCTGTCTGCCTTCTCTCCATTAAGGGTCAAAGTGAGCAAAATTGGGGCAAGCTGCTCATGGGAAGAGGTTGATGTGGGAGGGACCTAGGCTACTGGTGATCTGGGGGTGGACTGAATCCAGGGCAGGGGAAGGAGCAGCCTTCACATCAGCATTTCCTGAACCTCTGCTTACCTTTCTTTCCATGAAGGTATACCTGACAGGTATCATCTTTGGGATCAGGGTAGGAGTGAAAGAATTGGCATCATAAGGCAAGCCAGTAGAAGGAAGCCCTGCGCGCGCGCTCGCTCGCTCGCTCACTCACTCTCTCTCTCTCTCTTTTAAAAATTCTCTTTTAAGTTGTTTTACTACCTATAGGAGGAAACAAGTTGCCAGTTGTATGTGGAGTATTGAAATTGTGGGAATGGGGGTGGTGGTGAGAAATGAAATTGAACTTTTTTTAATTTTTAAATTTTAGATATGTTCCTGTATAATTCCAGAATGCATTCAGAGAGCCGTGAGAAAATTGCTTCATTACCTCTTCCATACACGGTATTTACAGTTCAGAGTTCAAATGGGATCCTCTGTTTTTGTCTTGATTATTAATTGTTGCTAATCTGTAGCTACAGGAAGCTCCTGTGGTTTCCAGCATGGGAAGGATGCTGGGTTCAGAGCCTCTCTACTCATGGATAATCTGCCTTCTGTCTCTGGGATATTAATATCTACTTTAAAATACATATTTAAAGAGTGGAATGGTTTCTTAGTTAATTTTTAAAGGACATGGTTGGCCCTTGGTTAGTTTTTTTCCTTTTGTACAGTTTCTTAATGGAGCAACCCTATGAATAAGCTGTGCTTGTTTCCTTTCAGCAACCATGCCTTCATTATCCTGCACCTGGTCTTGCAAGGGACAGTTTATACTGAATATACCTGGGAAATATTTGGCTACTGTCAAGAGCTGGAATTCTCTCTGTATTACCTTCTTCTGCCGTATCTGTTGCTAATTATATGCCTGATTTTCTTCACCCTAACTTGTTTAACCAATCCTGGTAAGTTGAGGCTCTTAGCATACAGACTGAGACAGCTCAACTATTTTACTGATAGTGCTGCAAACAAGTAGTGGTTTCTCTGAGAAGTTTGCAAAGGATTTTGTGTGTCATGGGTTTATTAACTTTATATTTCCAGTTTTTTCTTTTTCCTCCTTGTACCAGGGATTGAACCAAGGGGTGCTTAACCACTGAGCCACATCCCTAGCCCTTTTTATTTATTTATTTATTTATTTATCTATCTATTTATTTATTTATTTTTATGTGGTGCCTAGGATGGAACCCAGTGCCTTACACATGCCAGGTAAGCACTCTGCCACTGAGCCATAACCCCAGCCCTCCCAGCCCTTTTAAAATATTTTATTTAGAGACAGGGTTGCTAAGTGCCTCACTAAGTTGCTGAGGCTGGCTTTGAACTTACAGTATTACTGCCTCAACCTCCCAAGTCACTGGGATTACAGGAATGCACCATAGCACCTGGCATATTTCCAGTTTTTTATTTTGTCATTGACCGAAGGGTTACTTAGAACTCTTTATATATATCTTATTTTTGGTTGATTGTATATGTGTAGAACATAGGTTTAGTATGATAATGTTCCCTTTTAAAAATTTTTTGAGACTTGCATTATGCTTGGGTATGTGGTCAGTTTTCGTAATGATCCATATGTGCTTGAAAAAAGTTTGTATTTTCTAAGTTTTTGGCTTTTTTGTTTGTTTGTTTGTTTTAGTTGTTGATGGACCTTTATTTTATTTGCTTATTTGTATGTGGTGCTGGGAATTGAATGGAGTACCTCACATATACGAGGCAAGCGCTCTACTGCTGAATACAACTCCAGCCCCTGTTTTGTTTTTTTGTACTGAGGATTGAACCCAGGAATGCTTTACCATTAAATGGTGTCCCCAGTTCTTTTTATTTTATTTTTCTAAATTTTGAGACAGGGTCTTGCTAAGTTTTTGTGTGCCTCACTAAGTTGCTGAGGCTGGCCTCCAACTTGTGATCCTTCTATCTCAGCCTCCCAAGTCACTGGGATTATAGGTATGTACCACTGTATTCAACAAGAGTCGTATTATATCAGGTTTGTTAATTATGTTCAAAACTTTTATATCCATACTAGTGTTTTTAAATTAGTTTCTCAGAGCAATGTTATCTCATTCTGATGGCTTTTCTTCATAGTTTGTTAAATATTTTAAAACTATTATGCACATATATATTCTTACTAAATACATTGTCATGTTTAGAGTTGGTATTATCCTTTCCTTGTGGATAATACTTCACAATCTTTCAGTCTTTTTTTTCATAATAAATCAAGCCTCTTTATCACAGCTAATGCTCTATGCTCTCAAGTCTCTTTTGTCTGGTTTTAATTTTATTACACTGTGCTTAGTAATTTTTTTTCTGTCCTATTGTTTTACTTTTATACTTTAAGGTCCTTGAAACACCAAATGTCCATTAAGTGATGAATGTGAAAAGATGTGATAAACCCATTTAATGGACTATTATTCAGCCATAAAAAAGACTAGAAGCTGTGGTGGGAGCCAGTGGTAGAGCACTTGCTTACCATAAGAGAAGCCCTGGGTTCCATCTGCAGCACTGCAAAGCAGAACAAGAATGAAGTATAGATTCAGGCTCTAACTTGTCTGAACCATAAAAACATGCTGATGAAAGAAGCCAGACACACACACACACACACACACACACACAAAAAAAAACCCATAAATTATATGATTTCATTTATATGAAGATCCAAAAAAGGAAATCCATAGAGAAAGAAAATAGATTAGCAGTTTCTAGGGCCTGGGGACCTTAGAAGTAGGCAGTGACTGCTAATGGGTTTCTTTTTCAGGTGATCGTATTCTAAAATTGATTATGATAATGATTGTATAACTCTGAATATATTAAAAACCAGTGAGTTGTATACTTTGAATTGAATCTATGGATTATATGTCAAAGCAGATATAAAAAATGAATTACCTAAAATATTAAATATAGCAGTTTTAGTTCTGTTGTATTGGGACAGGCTTTGTGACTATCCCACCTACATATTGCTTGAAACTAGCATTCGTCCTTATCTTTTTCAGGCACCATAACAAAAGAAAATGAATTATTATTTCTTCAAGTTTATGAATTTGATGAAGTTATGTTTCCAAAGAATGCAAGGTGTTCTACTTGTGACTTAAGGAAACCAGCTCGATCCAAGCACTGCAGTGAGTATGGCTATTGGGCTCCAGTGGACCCTCCCAAGTGCATGCATGGGCTTTATCTGTAAGGTGGTATTTCATGAGTCTAAAAAGACAGCCATTTGATTCCTACATGTGGGTTGTCTGCTTCTGTTGGAGGCCAGATCGTGGTTTTTTCCAGATGACTTGAGGGTAAGGTTGTATGTTTTTGCACAGTGGCCATCCTCAGCCCTAGGCATAATAGCTCTCTTTTGCTATGGGAGAGATGCTTTTATGGTCTGCTGTGTGCAGATTTTAGCCCTAGCTAAGCCTAGTATTCTAGGGAATGCCTAAGGTTCTAGGCTGTTTCCTATCTGACAAAAATATTACATGAGTCACATATGTGGTTTAAAATTTTCTAGTAGCCTTATTGCAAAAGAAGCAATTACTTAATCACATATTTTATTTAAACCCATGTCCTGAAATATCTTTTTTTTTTTTTTTTTTTTTTTGGTGGCCCTGGGGATTGAACCCAGACCTCATACATGTCATGCAGGTGCTCTACCGCTAAGCTCTACCTCAGCCCCAGGCCTAAAATACAATTTTGTTCATTGTACTATCATGTGTAACAAATTAAAAAATTTTAAAAAATAATAAAATACAATTTTAATGTGTAATCAATGTAAAAATATTCATGAGGTAATTTATGTTTTTCCTTTTTGTTTTTTGGTACTGGGGGTTGAACCTAGGAGTGCTTTACCACTGAGCTACATCCCCAGCACCTTCTTCCCCTCCCACCCGTTTTTTTGTTTTGTTTTTTTTGTATTGGAGATTGAACTCAGGGGCCCTGAACCACTGAGCCACATCCTCAGCCCTTTTTTCATATTTTATTTAGAGACAGGGCCTCATTAAGTTGCTGGGACAGTTTTTTTTTTTTTTTTTTTTTTTTAGTATTTTTAGGTGGACACAATAGCTTTACTTTATTTTTATGTGGTGCTGAGGATGGAACCCAGTACCTCACGCATGCCAGGTGAGCGTGCTACCACTTGAGCCACATCCCCAACCGCTGGGGCAGACTTTGAACTCATGATCCTACAACTGCTGGGCTTACAGGTGTGATCTGCCACGCCCAGCATCAGTCCGTTTTTAAATTTATTTATTATTTTTTAAAAGATTTTTGTTGTTGTTGTTGTTGATAGACTTTTATTTTATTTATTTATATGTGGTGCTGAGATGAACTCATTGCCTCACATATGCCGGGTAAGTGCTCTGCCACTGAGCCACAACCCCAGCCCTTTAAATTTATTTTTTATTTTAATTTTTTCCCAGTACTGGAGTTCTAATCCACGGGTGCTTTACCACTTGAGCTTTGTCTCCTGTCCTTTTTACTTTTTTTATTTTCCTGAGGCAGGGTCTTGCTAAATGGATGAGGCTGCCCTCAAACTTGTAATCCTCCTGCCTAGCTTTTCCAGCTGCTAAGATTAGGCAGGGCCACTGCACCTAGCTGTGTTCTTTTTTTCATACTAAGTCTTTGAAATCTGGTGTATTTTACTTTTATAGCACATATCCATTCAGGTACTAAGTTCTCATTGGAAGTTCTTGACCTGTATTTAGATTTCATAAAATTTATAGTTGAAAGAGTAGACTTAAACACTTATACTATATCCAGACACTCTTAAAAGTTTTCCAATAAGTGAATTAAGTACCAAAACATTTTATTTTACTGTGAAAATCTACATTGACTAAATGGTTCATCTTTATCAGAAGAACTGACTTGATTTTAAAGCAAAGCCATCAGTTGTTTTTGTTTTTTTTTAGTGGATCTTTTACTTTATTTTTTTATTTATATGCGGTGCCGAGGATCAAGCCCAGAGCCTCACACATGCCAGCCAAGTGCTCTACCATTGAGCCACAATTCAGCCCAAAGCCATCAGTTTTAAAATTATATTTGGGGCTAGGGATGTGGCCCAGTGGTAGAATGCTTACCTGTCAAACACAAAGCCCTGGGTTTGATTCCCCAGCACTGCAAAAATAAATAAAACTATACCTGTTCATGTTAAGTAAGTTCACCACCTCTCATGTTACCTCAGAATTATTCACACTGAATTCAAAATAGTATTGTATAAATTGCAAACAACTGTAAAATTGTCAATATTGACAAAGTATTCTTTCATATTTTTCTTTTAACTATATTGCAGTGCTCCATACCCACATGTGGCTAGTGGCTACTGTAGTGGACTCTATGGTTCTAAAAGCTTGGTGATAGCAACTGCCACTGCCCCACCTTCCTCCACACACTCTTATTGCCATTGGTCACTTTGTAAAAGTGCACATGGTGTCATGTCTCATCAAGGACAAACTCAGTCTGTGGCTCCCTCTTCTCCATGCAGGTGTGTGTAATTGGTGTGTGCACCGTTTTGACCATCACTGTGTTTGGGTGAACACCTGCATCGGGGCCTGGAATACCAGGTACTTCCTCATCTACCTTTTGACGTTGACTGCGTCAGCTGCCATCATGGCCATTATAAGCACCATGTTTCTGGTCTGCCTGGTGACAATGTCAGACCTCTACCAGGAAACTTACATCGATGACCTTGGACATTCCCAGGCTGTGGACACAACCTTTCTTATTCAGGTAATTATGCAGTGGCTCTCTGAATTCTGGTTTCAGAATTGTAAAAATGATGTTTCTTTTCCCAGTGAAAATACGAAGATGTTGTTTTTCTTTAAAAATTGATACAGCCAGTTTCAGTAGCGTATGCCTATAATCCCAGCAGCTCAGGAGGCTGAGGATGGAGGATAGAAAGTTCAAAGCCAGCCTCAACAACTTAAGAAAGGCCTTAAGCAACTTAGCAAGACTATGTGTCAAAATAAAAATGGGCTGGGGATGTGATTCAGTTAAGTGCCCCTGGGTTCAATCCCTAGTACCAAAAAAAAAAAAAGTTACATAAAATCTCATACCATAAAATCCACTCTTCAAAATATATCAGTGGTTTTAGTATATTCACAGAGTTTTACACCCATTACCACTATATCATTTCAGAACATTTCATTATCCCCAAAAGAAACACCCTCTTCTGTCTTCCCCTAGACCCTGGCATCTGTAAATCTACTTTCTGTCTTCATAAATTTGTTTTCTGGACATTTCATATACATGGCCTTTTTGACTGACTTCTTTTTAGTAGCATAATATTTTCAAGGTTCATCCATGTTGTAGCATAAATCTGTACTTCATTTCTTTTTATGGCTGAATAATATTACATTGTAGATATACCACATTTTATTTATTCATAAGTTGATGGATATTTGGGTGTTTCCACATTGAGGCTATTTTTTGAAAAATGCTTCTGTACAAGTTTTTATGTGGAGATAATTTATATGAATATATTGCTGGGTCATATAGTACCATTTAAAGAACTGACTCTTTTTCAAAGTGTCTGTACCATTTTACATTCCCAGAAGTTGAGTATGAAGGTTCTAGTTTCTTCACTTTTTATTATCTGTCTTTAAAAAAAAATGAAAAAACTTTTTTTTTTTGTTTGTTTGTTTGTTTTGAAAAGGAGCTCTCACTGAGTTATAGAGGTTGACCTTGAACTCTAGAGCCTCCTGCCTAAGTGCCACCTGAGTAACTGGGATCACAAGTGCATGTAGTCACACCTGTCTTTTTTTACTGTAGCCATCTTGATGGACATTGAAGTGGTATCTCATTGCAGTTTGATTTGCCCTTCTCTAATGACTAATGATGTTGAGTATCTTTTCATGTATTTGTTGGCCATTTGTATATCTTCTTTGAAGAAATATCTACTTAAAACCTTTACCCATTTAAAAATTTTGCCTTTTTATTATTGTAAGAATTCTTTATTCTAGGACAGAGGTTATGGCTCAGGGGTAGAGTGCTAGCCTAGCATGCATGAGGCTCTGGGTTCAATCCTCAGCACCACATAAAAATAAAATAAAGATATTGTGTCCACCTAAACAACTAAAAAAATAAATATTTTTTAAAAAGAGTTCTTTATTCTAGACTATTATCAGGTATATGAATAGATTATCAAATATTTCTTCCTGTTCATGGGTTGTCTTTTCACTTTTTTGACAGTTTTTGTTGTTGTTTTGAAAAAGGTTTTATATTAATGAAGCTCAATGTATCTTTGTTTTTTTCCTTTGGGGTGGGGTGCTGTGTATTGAACCCAGAGGCACTCAACCAGTGAGCCACGTCCCCAGCCAATTTTTGTATTTTATTTAGAGATGGGGTTGCTGAGTTGCTTAGGGCCTTGCTGAGTTGCTTAGGGCCTTGTTAAGTTGCTGAGGCTGGCTTTGAATTCACAATCCTCCTGCCTCAGTGTCCCAAGCTGCTGGGATTACAGGCATGGGACATCCTGCCTGGCCCCAGCCATATTTTTTATTTATTTTTTTATGGTGCTGGGGATTGAACCCAGGGCCTTGTGCATGCTAGGCAAACACTCTACCAACTGAGCTATATCCCCAGCCCTGACCCCAGCCATTTTTTAAAGATTTATTTTATTTTGAGACAGTTTCTTAGTATGTTATCCAAGCTGGCTTTGAACTTGGATCCTCCTGTCTCAGAAAAGTGAGAGTTATCCATTCCCCCAGTCCCAGTTGCACTTCCCAGAGGCAAACACTTTGAAAATTGGTATGTATATTTTTAGGCCTTTTTCTGTTTATTTGTTTGGCTATATACCTTCACAGAGTCAGTTGTTTTACTGAGTGTCTTTACACAAAAAAGATTACAATTTGGCCAGGTGGAGTGGCACATGCCTGTAATCCCAGCAACTCAGGAGGCAGAGATAGGAGGATCAAAAGTTAGAGGCCAGCCTGGGCAACTTAGTGAGACCCTGTCTCAAATGAAAAGGGTTGGGGATGTAGCTCAGTGATAGAGCACCACTGGGTTCAATCCAGTGGTGAAAAAAAAAAAAAGATTAAAATGTGATCCTTGAACTTTGCCTTTCTCATTGGGCAATAAATATATCATAATCTTTTCAAAATCAGTACATAGAAATTACCTTGGTTTTCAATGACTCTTTATTATTCCATAGTGGTAACTATCCCAGAGTTTATTTTGCTCTTCCTTGTAGAGGAATATTAATGTTTCTTTTGGGAAGACAGGCTGTTAGAATCAGTACCATAGTGAATATTCTAGTACATGTATTTTTGCGGTCAGATTGTTTTCAGATAGACATTGGTTTCTCTTGTTCATCTGGGTTTTATTTTGGTTCATGAACTAAGGTCTGTGTTTGTAAATTTTCAATTGCCACAGCTCCATTTCCTGGATAGTCTTTCCCTCAGTATGAATACTTGATTCATTCCAGAGTAAATGCTTGCACATCAGGGTGATTCCTGGGCTATTTGTGGGTGCTGATTATGGCTCAGTGGGTTATATTTAGACACATGTAGATGAGTTGAGGTTGTGGCTCTGTTGTGTTCATGGACCAGATCTGGGCTAGTGGGTGCTGACCTTCATGGATGTCACCGTTTTCTTCCTAACATTCTGCATCTTCTTTGCCCTTAGTACCTGTTCCTGACATTTCCAAGGATTGTCTCCTTGCTCGGCTTTGTTACGGTGCTGAGCTTCCTCCTGGGGGGCTACCTGTGCTTTGCTCTGTACCTGGCAGCCACCAACCAGACCACAAATGAGTGGTACAAAGGTGACTGGGCCTGGTGCCAACTCTGTCCTGTGGTGGTCCGGCCCCCATCAGCAGAGCCTCAAATCTACCAGAACATTCATTCCCACGGGCTTTGGAGCAACCTCCGAGAAATCTTTCTACCTGCTGTTCCATATTATGAGAGGAAGAAGAAATAAGAATGGAAAGAATACTCCTGCCTTTTAGATGTACACACCTTTATTTATACATATGGATACTTATTTTCTCAGCATTGTTTTGTTTTCTGCTGTGATTATTAAGCAGCTGTTGTGGTCTGTGCTGTGTGTATACATGGGCTTTCAGGGGGGAAGGGAAAACTCATGTTTATTGAGTGCCTGATCTTTGCCAGCTGCTGTGGCAGATATCTTGTTTGCTCATCTTATGCTGGCACTGAGCACCTCCGGTCCCAGTGTCAGGGTCAAGAGATGACTTCTCTGAGGTTCCAGGTGACAATGAGACCTCTCTACAGTCTAGGTATGTGAACAAGGAGGGGATGTACAGCCTTGCACCCAGGTGTGCAGGGGTCTCAGTGACTCAGTGTCTTGGGATTATGCCTAGTTGTGCCCTCTCTTATGCCCTCCCCTAGTCTGTCCCTCCCAGCCAGGGCATTTTCTTGCTTTATTCACATCCTCACTCAGACCTGCCTTCAGCCAGCACATAGGCCTTTACTCACATTCCTGTACTTGTGGCCTCCGGCCTTGCTCTCCACTGGCTTCTGGCCATATTCAAGCTTTTGTTGCCTTGTTTTAAAATTCCAAAAGTAAAACGGTGACTAGTTCAATGCAAAGAGATGGATGCCAGAAAAGAGGTTCATATAAAGTGCTGATGGGTTTTAGGGTGAGAGGTTTTTCAGAAGCAGGAGGCAGTTGGGCTAGACTTTGCAAGCCACCCAAATGCCAGGCTACACCTAGAAGCCAGCAGCTACAGAGGCCAGGCGTCTAGAGAGGACTGGGGAATAGAGACCCTGGGGCCAGAAGGAGTGGTAGGAGACAAAGGGTAGGGGAATGCCTTTACCAGCATCACCTGTCCTGGCAGCCAGTGGGTTCAGAAAAGATGAAACTTTAATGGCTGGGGCAGGGAGAAACCCAAGTCCACTGGCCCCCAACCCAAAGCCCTGTACTACTGCCCTATCCTTGCTGGTGGAAAGCACTTTTCCACGAAGAGCAGGAGGACTCCTGGAAAAGTTTCAAGACGCACTCTCGGGAGGGTGTGGCGGCTCTTACCACGCGCTCACGACCGGAGGCGGTCTCCAAAGGGGCGGGGTCTGCCTCCGCTGCGCGGCGCCCCTCCCGCCTACTGCCCGGGCTGCGCCACCAGGGGGCGCCCTCTGGAGCGTGCGCGGCCGCAGCCTTCACGTGGCCCCTGCGGGCCGCCGTCGTTGCCCGGCATTCCGCCGCCGTTCGGCTGCGCAGCGACGGCTCCCTCGGCTCTGTGCGGCCCGGCAATCGGACCCCGTTCGCCCGCTGGCCACCGGTGGCGGGAGCGATGGCCCCCTGAGCGGGCCGGCAGAAGGTAGTGGCGGGCGGGCGGGCGCCGCTGCTCGGCCCGGGTCGGGGCGGAGGCCGGGTCGCGCCTCTTTGTCTCCACAGGCGGCAGCGCGTCCCCGGCTGCCGGGCGGAAGTGGGACGCGCGGGTGCTGGGCCACAGCCACCGCACCATGAGCGACATCCGCCACTCGCTGCTGCGCCGCGACGCCCTGAGCGCAGCTAAGGAGGTGCTGTACCACCTGGACATCTACTTCAGCAGTCAGCTGCAGAGCGCGCCGCTGCCCATCGTGGACAAGGGCCCCGTGGAGCTGCTGGAGGAGTTCGTGTTCCAGGTGCCCAAGGAGCGCGGCGCGCAGCCCAAGGTGCCTGCCCGATCGTGCCCTTCCCCTCGGTGACAAGCAGTTGCCAGGCTGCTGGGTTCTCGCCCTTGGCCTTGCTCCTGCAGCGGCCCCCCACCCCCAACCCAGCCCCCTACCCTGCAGTCCTGCAGCATTGCTCAACCGCGTGCCTGTTTTGCAGGCGTGTGACAGTCCGGCTCAGAAGTGTTCTGGGATGAGACTTCGGGGACTGTCCGCTTACCTCGCTAAAGGCCTGTTACCTAGAGTCTAAAACTGTGTGGCCTCCGAGATGATACTTGATGAGATATGACTTTTTCCTGAGCTTGGCAGTAGCGTTCCGCTCCCCAGGACCCGGGATTCAGAGGGGCGAAAAATATCCTGGGGTAACTAATGGTAGTTCCTGGTTTCTCACCGGGTGAACTAACGGGTATGTGAAAGCCACATTTCTTATAGCTTGTCCCGGGTTTGTTTTACAGAGACTGAATTCACTTCAGGAGCTTCAGCTTCTTGAAATCATGTGCAATTATTTCCAGGAGCAAACCAAGGACTCTGTGCGGCAGATTATTTTCTCATCACTTTTCAGCCCTCAGGGGAACAAAGCCGATGACAGCCGGATGAGCCTGTTGGGAAAACTGGTGTCCATGGCGGTGGCTGTGTGTCGAGTTCCAGTGTTGGAGTGTGCAGCCTCCTGGCTCCAGGTACGCTCTCCAGAGTTCCTAAAATCTTCTTCAGAACAAGTGAAAAATCATTCTTAGGGGAAAATTATAAATTAAAATAACGTACAGTCTCAAAAAAAATTTTTTTTTTTTTTTTTAAGATCATTAAATGTTAAGTTGTACAAATGTTTACCTGTTGTTTACTATCAGGGTCATTAATTTAACTGAATCACTGGGGAGGTCTTTTCACACATATCATGTTCTTAATCATTACTGCCCTGGATACTCATAGCTGTATTCCTATCCTGTTTTTATTTTCAAAGCATGACAATTCTTGGGGACATAATAGTTTGTAATGGCAAGTTAATTTTTTTTCTTAATGAAGAAAAAAAGGCCTCGTCTTTAGAACAAGTGAAAAATCATTCTTAGGGGAAATTTTTTTTTCAATGTGTTTTTTTGTTGTTGTTGTTTTTTGTTTGTTTGTTTTAGTTTTATTGATTTTTACTTTTTAAAATACAGGACAGTGGAATGCATTACAATTCTTATTACACATATAGAGTACAATTTTTCATAGCTTTGTATATAGAGTATGTTCACACCAATTCATGCCTTTATACATGTACTTTTTTTTTGCATCACAATTCTTATTACACATATATACCACAATTTTTCATATCTGTTTATATATAAAGTATGTTGACACCCAATTCGAGTCTTCATACATATACTTTGGATAATGATGTCCATCACATTCCACTGCCCTTGCTAATCCCCTACCCCTCCCTTTCCCTCCCACCCCTCTTCCCTATCTAGAATTTATCTAATCGTCCCATGCTCCTCTTAGAGGAAAATTATAAATGAAAATAGTATTATGGAGTCTCAAAAAAGGGATTTTTTTTTTTTAATATCACTATATGTTAAGTTGTACAAATGTTTACCCACTGTTAGAAGGTAGTACTTTTCTGTAGTCAGTAAACAGGTGAATTGTTTTGCCTAGCTCTAGGGTGACATCACATAGTTGATAACCCTTCAAATGGACATATCAAAGGAAAAAGTATATATTTACAATAGGTTTAGTGCTAGGTGATATTTTGGGAAATTCATTTGTTTTGCTTTTTTTGCTTCTCAAGGTCTAAAAAATTAATAATCTACTTAGTTATTGACCAAATTTTTGACTAATCTATTCCTTAGCCAAGTTAACAATTTATCAGTTTCATAAACCTGCTTTATTCCCAATACTTGAAAATAAAAAAACTTTTGAGGTGCTGGGGATTGAATCCAGGTTCTTGCCCATGCAAGGCAAGTGCTCTACCACTGAGGCACATCTCAGCCCCAAAATCTGTTTTTTTCCCAATTTAATTAATAGTTTTTCTTATAATCTTGTTTATGCATAAAATTTGGCTAACAAAATCATATTATTTGTAGTACACTAGAGAATCTCAGTGAAGTTTATACCTTAATTCTCGCCAGTCCAATTTCTGGGGCATCCAAATTAATCATTAATATTATATTTAATCTCAGGATTCCCTTTATCCCTTGACAATCTATTGAAACCAAGTTTAGCATCTTCTAGTTTTTCATTGATGTCTTTTGATGATGATGTGCTGGCATTTTGATAAAATGAAAGCAGATGTCAACAAAAAGATCTTGGTGGTTTGGGTCAGGGTTGCTACCTGGGGTTAGGGGCTTTAGCTTTCTCTTGAGGCCAGGTGGAGATATCAGTGTTCTTAGTGGCAGAGGACAGGCCAAATAAACAATCTGACCATGCTGTCTCCTTAGAGTTTCTGCTGTAGGCCCAGTTAGTGCCCTGGAGCTGCTGCATAATGAGCAGCTGCTAAATGTGACCAGAGCTACTGATAGACACATACCTGGAGGGAGAATGCCGGGGGAGAGTGGTGATATAGGATTCAACAGTATTGTAGAAATACGTCAAAAAGAAGAGGATTATAAGAGGAATATGCAAATTGCTGCTCTAAACAGACATTTTAATCATGTGGGTTCTCAGACTCATAAATCTTTTCAAAGTGGTAGCAGCTGTGAATTTTTACCTGCGTTGTGTCACCTGGAACATTTAACATTGTAAGAGTTGTCATTTCTTCACCTGAGGTCAAGTGATCTTTCCTAAGTAAACTTTGAAGCAAGATCCAGCAAATGTTTTTGGCAAACATTTTAGTCTTTGCAGATCATATTATCTCTGTCGCAGCTGTTCAGTTCTGTTCAGCCCTTGTAGTGGAAGAGCAGCCTTAAACAGTGGACAAACAAATGATCATGGCCACATCTTGGTAAAACTTAATTCACAAAGGTGGGTAGAGGGGCAGATTTGGTCTGTGGACTTTACATTACTAAAAGAAGCTGTTAACATTTCTCCTGGAAGTGGTTCTGCTAGTTTTGGTGGTCTTCAGCATTTGTACATAGTTGCTGCCTGCTGGGTCACCACACGTGTAGTTACGTGGCCTGTGTCTTCTTTCCAGCGGACACCTGTGGTCTACTGTGTAAGACTTGCCAGGGCTCTCGTGGATGACTACTGCTGTTTGGTGCCAGGCTCCGTACAGACACTGAAACAGATATTCAGTGCCAGCCCTCGATTCTGCTGTCAGTTCATAACATCTGTCACTGCGCTCTATGACTTGTCATCAGGTAAAAAAGTTATACAGTAAAAAAAAGTTATACAGGTTATTGCCATCAGAGAAGCTTCAACTAATTGCCAGTTTTCTTTTCCAGTGAATGCTTTGGCTTTTTTTTTTTTTTCTCTCAGAAATGTACTTCTTTATTTTGGGCCTAAAACTAAAACTCTGGACAGCTGGACCTATGAGTTTCCTCAGTATCCCCATTGCCTGAGTTGGAATGGGTAGAAGTGGCAAATAGCTCAAATGCCAGGGTCTGAAGTCGGTGAAATGTGGCCTGCCTCTTTATCCCCTACTTTTTATTTTGAAAAATTCAGAAAGTTGCAATATTAATACAACAAACACTCATATACTTCTCACCTAGATTCAACTATGAACATTTTGCCATGTATTAGCTTTGTCCCAACGCACACATACACATAATTTTTTCTGAACTAGTAAGAATTTATTGCTGATATCATATACCAAATATGTAAACACATATCTTCTAAAGAATAAGAACATTATCTTATACAACCATGTTAACATTATCATACCTGAGAAATTTAATGCCAGTGGAATTCTCCTGTGATATAGCCTATATGCAAATTTTCCTACTTGTCTCAATGTTTTTATAGTTTTGTTTTTTTTTTTTACTTAGAGGGATCGAGAAAATTCAGGAGCCAGTCAGGGGTCACACATTGAATGTAGTTGGCATTTATCCTTAGGTTCTTTAAATCTAGACAAGCTTCCCAGCATTTAAAAGTAATTTCTTATTACCTTGACATGCTCAGGCATGTTGTTTTGCTGAATGCCCCTTAATTTGGACATACATGATTATTTCCTTATGAAAAGTTTGAGGCTGCACCTCTTTGACAACAGTTCTACCTAGGTGATGAGATGTCTTCAGTGTTTTGTGCTGGAAGGTACACATGCTAGTTCTACTCTTTTTTTTTTTTTTCTAGTTCTACTCTTAGTGAAGTTTTTGAGATGGTAGAAGTCCTCTTAATAGCCACAGAATAGTGTTTGGCTTTGACTGGGAGAAGCCCATGTCCCTTATCCCTGTCTAATAGCAGAGCTCCCTGGTCAGATGTCCAGTTTAAAAAAAAAAAAAAAAAGTTGACTAGCTGTGGTCAGATTGGGGTGGGAGACTCAGATCCCTACCTACTTGGCTCTGTTGCCCACTTTTTCTCCCATGGGTGAGTTCTAAGAAATTTGGGGCTTTCTCATGCACCAGGTTCTTCTACAACTAGTCCCCATGCAACCCCTGCAGTATTGTTTGGTTCCCAGGCAGGGGCTATGCCTATTATTTTTCCATTTGGAAAAGTTATGGTCCCTCATGGGTGGCTCTCTGTGTAGAGCCAGGTTCAACGCCTGCTTTTCTGCTGTATTCCAAATTCTTTCTTCTTTGCCTTTTGCTCTTGCTCAGAGAGTTGACAATAGTTTTTTATCCTGATCTCATAGCTAAAACAGCAGAATGAGAACTTTTTTTTTTTTTTTGGTACTGGGGATTGAACTCAGGGCCACTCAACCACTGAGCCACATCCCCAGCCCTTTTTTGTATTTTATTTAGAGACAGGGTCTCACTGAGTTGCTTAGCACCTTGCTTTTTGCAGAGACTGGCTTTAAACTCATGATCCTCCTGCCTCAGCCTCCTGAACTGCTGAGATTACAAGTGTGCACCACCACGCCCGGATGCCTGGTCAGAATAAGAACTTTTGATGATACTTCCCCTATTCTTTTTAGTTCAGTATTGGTCTTCACCAGCTCTCTGACTATATTTAAACCTCCTTTTATTTGTAACTTTTTTCCTTGTTTTTAAACAGTTTAATTATTTAGAATGTTCACATGGAAATAGTATAAACTATTTATATATATATATCATATTCCTATGCTAATTCCATACTCGTTTTTTTAAAATATTTTTTTAGTTGTTGATAGATCTTTATTTATTTGTATGTGGTGCTGAGAATCGAACTCAGTGCCTCATACATGCCAGGCAAGTGCGCTACCGCTGAGCTACAACCACAGCCCCTGCCCCTGATTCCATACTCTTTAAGAGCAGTTTGCCAGCAGGTCGCAGTGGTGCACACCTGTAATCCCAGTGGTTCAGGAGGCTGAGGCAGGAGGATTGCAAATTCAAAGCCAGCCTCATCAACTTAGCAAGGCCCTAAGCAACTTAACGAGACCCTGTTTCTAAATATTTAAAAAGGGCTGGGGATGTGACTCCATGTCCCTGGGTTTATCCCCCAATACCAAGGGATTTTTAAAAAGGCAGTTTTCCTATGGAGTTGTAAATAGGTCTCTTATAGAGTAGTGCTGTGCATCTAGGGTAGAATTTTCCCTAACTTGGTCCTGCAAAGGTTTCCTAAGAGCTGTTATTAGCTGGGAGCTGTGTTCAGGTTTTCGGTCTTCCAGTGGGAGAGACTTAATTCAAATCCAGTTCATAGCATTGTAGTTGGTGTTTCATGTCATCAGTTATTTCAGGCCAATGGGACAGAAATTATTCTTAACACTGGGAATGAATGAATTAACATGTGGAATAAGATATAATGTTTAGGGAATACCACTGACAGGGTGTATCTAAGACATGGTGTTTTTCTTGTAAGCCGACATAGAAGTCTGGTGTGTCAGTGATTCCTCAAGCCACTCATCACAATCGTGGTCCTGGAGGGCCAGACCTGAGACTGCTGTCCAAATGGTGATTGGTGCTGTTCTTTGGTGCTCCTGCTAACAAGAATATTCTGAGGGCGTTTGTGTCTTCCTACCACACACACACAAAGAAGCTCACCTAACCGTGCAGAGCCTCTTCTTGTTGAGAGCAAGAACCAGTCTCTGAGGAGGAAAGTGTGGAGTTTTAGGATTGAGTCACTAAGTATGCATATTTACATGTGTGCCCATGGCACACATCCACGCATGTACACACTGACTTCAGGCCATTGGACACCTCGCTTTGACCTGGGGCATACAGCAGAGGAGCGGGCACGAACCTGGAGTTGTCCAGACAGAAACATTTCAGGGAATCAAGCACACAAGAATGCCAAGTGAGGGTTGGAGACAACAGTGCTCCTTGCTGCTGCTGTCAGTTCACCACAGAAGGGGCAGTCCCTTTATTCCAAACAGTTATAGGAACAATCTTAGGAATAAAAAACCAGCTTCCAGAGAAAAAAATAACTGGAAATCTTATCCTTCAACGTGACTTACTTCACACCGTCTCCTCTTTCATGCTTGGCCCGAAAGGGGTTCTGTCATCCTTAGTTTTCCCTTGAGTTGTGGGGTGTGCTGTCCCAGAGAGGAGGCTGGGGGCATAGCCAGCCTGAAGGTATAATATGCCAATCCCGGGATGGGCAGTGTAGTCTAGTGGTCTAAGAGAGGCTACCTGAAATCAGATCTGAGCCTACCACATCCTTTTGAGTCCTGAGAAATTATTTAACATCACTGTCTCAATTTCCTCATCCTTTGTGTGGGGGTGACAGTTTTGTGAGGCTTAAATGGGTTAAACTCTCCTCATTATTATTGTTCTTGGTCTAGGCCCTGGAATGTGCTGGGTCTCAGGGATCACAGAAGGCCAAACTTTTGCTTTTTTAGACTAGCTTTGGAGTTGGGGTGGTTGTTGGTAGTGGACAGAAGACTGACGGGACTCTGAGCTGCTCTCGGAGGGGCACCATAGCCATTACTGTACAGTAGAGGAGATGATGAGTGTAGGGAAGAACCCTGCTCACAAGGGAAGGAATGGAGTGTAGTGGTAATTTTGGACATAAAAAGTGTGGAATTTTATTTAACTTGACACCCAGGAGGATATTTCTTCAAACCATAATGGAGCTGTATGAAATTGTTGACTTACAAGTGTTATTTCAGCCTCTATATTGGCCAGAGGGTCCTGGGCACTGGGGTTGTAACATTGGCTAAGATAGGAGTCCCAGCCCTCATTGGCGGATGTTCTAGGAAAGGAGACAGAAAATAGATAAACTAGGCAGTAATGATCTGAACACCAGGCAGGAAGACCATGAACTTAGGGATTCGTCTTCCCTTGTCCACTTGCCACTCCTGTCTCCAACATCAAGAACACTTCTGACTCAGCGGTCTTTGTTTGCAGATGATCTCATTCCACCTTTGGACTTGCTTGAAATGATTGTCAACTGGATTTTTGAGGACCCAAGGTTGATTCTCATCACTTTTTTAAATACTCCAATTGCAGCCAATCTACCAATAGGATTTTTAGAGCTCACCCCACTCATTGGATTGATCCGCTGGTGCGTAAAGGCCCCTCTGGCTTACAAAAGAAAGAAGAAGCCTTGCTTATCCAATGGCCACGTCAATAACAAGGTTGCAAAGGACTCGGGTGTGGGGATAGACAGAGACTCCCACCTTTTGTACTCAAAACTCCACCTCAGCGTCCTACAGGTTCTCATTACGCTCCAACTGCACTTAACTGAGAAGAATCTCTATGGGCGCCTGGGACTGATCCTGTTTGACCACATGGTCCCACTGGTAGAGGAGATCAACAGACTGGCAGATGAACTAAACCCCCTCAACGCTTCTCAGGAGATTGAGCTCTCGCTGGACAGGCTGGCACAGGCTTTGCAGGTGGCCATGGCTTCAGGAGCCCTGCTGTGCACGAGAGGTGGGTGCCTTCCCTGCCCAGGCCTCCTGGGAGTGGCAACAGCATCACCCAGGCAGAAAGAAGATAGGGCTCCTAGACAGACACTATTTTTGACTGTTTTAGGACTTCTTTTTTTTTTCTTAGTGGATGCAGGGGAGGAAGGTAAAAATCTCAGAGCATCTCAGTGGTACTGTGTCACTCTGCTCTCCCTGCACCCCCCCATCAGAGTGTTAATTTGCCAGACATGACATCTGGGCATCACCTGGCTCTTTTGACCCAGAACTGGGGACTCCTGGAGAGGATTGATCATTTTTCCTCTTGAGGATTCTTCTTTCTTCTTTTTTCTTAAGGCATAATTGACATAAGTAAAATGCACAGATATAAGTGCAAAGTTAGAGGTGCTTTTAGCAAATGTATGTGTTTACGTAACTTCTGCCCTGTCAAGATGTGCATTCCCATTGCTGTTTTGAGGATTCCTGAATTCTTTTGCATTTCAGTGCTTGAACTCTCCCTGGAGATTGACCTGGTACCAGTGACCCACTTGAGTACACTTTTTAGCTGTTAATGCACTCACAAGAGTTGCCTGTGTCCCCAGCTGATGGTGATGAGTTTACTGTTTTACCACTGCTCCTGTGCCTTGGGTGTCTGCCTGCCTCTAGGTTCTTTCCCAGCCACCTGACAAATTGCTAACAAACCTTTCTTCTATTTTGGGCCTATTTGTTAAAGCAAAAACTGAAAGAAAAGAGGGGCCAGTTTCTACAGATGCTGGAAACATGGAGTATCAGTCTCTATTTGCTGCCTTGTTAGCATCCTTGAAAAGTACCTCAGCCAACAGTTCACCTTCTCTCCCGTCTGCTTCTTAATAATGTGTCTCCTTAATTTCAGATGACCTGAGAACCCTGTGCTCCAGGCTGCCTCATAACAAGTAGGTGTCCTCCAAGACTTCTAGCTGGGCTAGCTTTGCTGGGGCAGAGAGGGAGGATGGCAGATGGCAAAGCAGAGTGGACCCATTTGTCCTGCATTCCTTAGGGAGAGGTGGTCTTCAGGGTCCAGAGCATGTCTCTGTAAGGAAAGACATCCTTTAGGACCTAGTGGTAAGTGGGGAATATAAATGTTAGCCTAACCCTCATGAGAGGAGTCCTAAGTAGAGTGTAAACATGAAACATGCCCCCTTTTTTAAATTTTGTGGTGCTGTAGATTGAACTCAGGACCTGCCTGGCACATATTAGAAAAGTGTTCTACTACTAAGCTACACGCCCAACCCCTTCCCGCAAGAAGGCCACTTTTGGCCAGGTATGTGTACCTTACACACAGGTACCACTGTGCCTGACCTAAAGTCGCCTTCTTGCAGGAGTCAAGAGAAGGCACTCTAGGTGTCACTCAGCTTATTAAATCACTGAGCTTCTATTTGGTAGTGAGGGTGGTATTCTGGCACTCCATTGGTGACATTTTGACTTACCCAATCCTTCAAAGGACCATAGTAGAGTACAGTGTTAGTAATGTCAGGGCTTGGGCTTCTAGCAGCAGGGACCTACCTAGTTTCTGAGTGATGCTGCTAGATTTGCTGTGACATTTGGGCACTCTTCATCTGTCTCTGAGCTTGGTCTTTCCTTTGTCAAATGGGGCAGGACTCATCCCTGCCTTGCTAGGGTAAAATGAGGTGGTGTTTGTAAATTTCACATTGTCCCTACCCCATGGGACTCTCTCCACAACCGCAGTCAGAATGAAAAGGCATAATGTCACACGGATTCTTTTAGAATCCTGGCCCTGCTACTTCCTGTCTTTATGACATTGGTCAAGTTCCTGCCTTCTGCTGCCTCAGTCTTCTCATCTGTAAAACCACAATAATTATAGTTCGTGTTTCCAGTCCCCCTTGCCTTACCCCACCTGAAGCCTTAGAGTTTTATAAGGTTTGAATGAGTAAAAACAGAAAGTAATTGGAACAGTATTTGATGTATGGCATCTAGTGTTACCTGCTTTCACTCTCACTGTTCCTTTAGTAACTTAGAACTTTTACTTCTATGAATTTATCCTTAGAAAAGAAGCTAAAAGGTATGTGTACAAAACTGTTTCAAAAAAATTCAGTATTAGTAGCAGACAGCTGGTAGCAGCTTAACTGTCCACAGCACAGGGAGACTTGGTAAGTTAGTTGTGATGTGTCACAAGGGTAGAACATTATGTATCCACTTAAAATAGTAATTGTGAGGACTGTGCAGGGAAATGTTTGCAGTTGAAGACAGAACTACTTGGCACAAGGACAGATTTATAGAGGTGAAAACAACTGGGTTAAGTTGGTAAAATCATTAATGCTCTTCTTTCTTTAGATCATCAGATTGGTCCTTAACAGGGAATTGCTGGGCTCTGGGACTGGCTTTGGCAGGCAGTGTGAACAGGGAAACAGGGCAGTGCTGCTCCACTGTGACTATCATGGCCACCTAGGGCCTGCCCCGCCCGCTCTTTAGAGACATGCATAACTGGAGGCCAAGGGTCAGCTGCATGCTGAGGAAGTACAGCCTGGTACCATGGTGGGGACCCTGTTATCCAGCCCAGACTGTTGTCTTCGTGCAGGGGCAATTAGCCTGAATGGAGGTGAGGTGATCATATAAGTAATAAAGTGAGGAGGACATAGCAGCTCACTTTTCCAACAACAGGCTCCCTAAGGCCAGCTTTCCCTCAGAAGGCCCCACTGCTCCTTTTCTTTTTTATGAACTCCAAGAAAATTCCTTGGAATTTCACATGAAATACTTTGAATTCTGGTGGTCTCTTTCTGTTAATTGATTTTCCAACTAGCCCAGAAACTTCTGGAACCACTTTTAATCTCTGGCAGGGAGTATATATTCAAACATACAACTCCCATTCTGTCTGTAGTACTTACTGGGTTTATAAATTTTGGATCAAGTTTCTTACTCTAGTTATAAAAAAGTAGTAGCGTAAATGAAAAGGGGATCAGAATAGCATTGGGCCACCAAGCTACACCAGCTCTTTTCATGCCCAAGACCCTCCTGTGGTCTAGCAGGTTGGGTTTGGTGATGAAAAAGACTGGTGTAGACCCTCTAGACATAGGACCCAGCTAAGCCAAGGTCCTGGGGTGACATTAGGAGAAGAGCAAGTAGAGCAGAGTGTCAGTAGCAAAACTGGAGGTCCTGGAGGCTAGGGGAAAGGCTGGATAGGATGCCTATGTCCTAGGTGTGGAAAGCCCTGATGGGGAGAAGTCCTGGGGAGTCGCTTACTTGAAGCTAATAATAGGAGGATGGAGTAGGCTGAGGTGGGGGAAACTGGAGGGGGTGAATGAAACTGTAGATCCTGCTGATCATCCTGTGGGTCATGGGCTAGAAAGGATAAGCCAAGGAGAAATGAATCTCAGAAGGACCCAGTGTTGAAAACTGATGCTGACTTCTCAAAGAGGATCTCTAGAACGTGGAGGCTGTGGAAAGGGAAAGGTCTTTCCTGAAGAGGGGCAGGTCCAGGTACTTCAGTGGGTTGGTCCTGAATGGAGGGGAGCTGGGGTTGTTGGTGAGACGTAATTGTTCAGAGACCCAGGGCGAGGTTGGGTAGTTAGGCTATGACCTTGGCATGGCAGATCTCCTGAGCAGGATGGTCTGCCCCTCCACAGCTGGGGAAATGGGTTCCTCAGGTTAGTAGGGGCTGGGCCAGGCCTAGGCTGTGTCTCAGCGGGTGCTGTGCTGGACTCTTGATTTCAGTATCATTTGAAAGACCGGCTTTTGTGGGACTTATGCTTGGACTTCAATTAGGACTCATTCATTAAGAATGACTTTGAGAAAACTATGGCCTCCTGTCCTGATCGCCAGGGTATCTCAGTTATAGTCACTGTAAGCGGAGGGCAGCTGAGACTGAAATGGAAGCTGACCTGTGGTAGGCCCCAAGCTCCAAGGGCAGAGAAGCTGCAGATGTCACATCAAGAGCTTTCATGTAAACCAAGGGTTCGGGGTGTAGACTGCTCCCTCCATATGTTGTTGCTGGGGGTTCTGGCTTTCCCTCTTCTGGTCCCTCCTCTCAGGCTCTGCCTGTATCCCAGGCTAAATCTTGCCACCCCTAGTTAATTTCCCAGCTCTTCCCTAGCTACCAGCCCCTTCCCTACTGCTGTGCTCACTGGTCACCTACTGAGAAACCCATATGACTGTCTTCATTGGTGTCTGTTCTGCCCTGTGGACATGTGAGGTGCCACTGTGCCTGGGCACTGGGTGCAGGGGATTGACTAAGCCTCAAAGTACATGTATTCAGAACCTTGCCCTGGAATCTGCAGTCCTAACACTTCTCCTTGTTTGCAGCCTGCTCCAGCTGGTGATCTCGGGCCCAGTGCAACAGTCGCCGCATGCAGCGCTCCCTCCTGGGTTCTACCCTCATATCCACACGCCCCCGCTGGGCTACGGGGCCGTGCCGGCCCATCCTGCTGCCCACCCTGCCCTGCCCACACACCCCGGACATACGTTCATCTCAGGAGTGACATTTCCATTCAGGCCCATGCGCTAGGCCAGCCCCTCCTGAGCCACCATGCAGCAGTGTGCCTTCTGCACCTGAGTTGAGGAAGCCCTCAGAAGAGGGTAGTGGTCCCAAAAAGAGGACCCTGGGGAGGCAACAGGTGGCCCCTCCTGGCTGTCAGACCGTCTTGGTTCGGAAGTTCCAAGTGGTAGCAGTCCAGGTGCCTACCTGGTCACATTCTTAAAAATCCAGATTGGATGGATGAAAGGAAAAATGTACAGACCTCTGCCGAGAGTGCTGGGAGTGTTTTTAAGTATGCCAGTTCCATGAGCTTTGGTTCACTTGCGTGTCATTCAGACATGGAGCCTGTGCCAGGAGGAGCACCGATGGGGAAGCTGCACCTGCAAGTCCACTTGTCTGGTCTCTCTGTGCAAACGTGACATGGCTGCCAAAAACACAGGCTTGTGCTGCAGCTCCATGAGCTCATAGCTGGAACGGTGTGACCCAAGCTTGTGTGTGGCTCAGGGACACCTGTAGGGATTTCCCGCCATCTTGGAAAGAAACTTCTCTGGTTTATCAGGTGTCTCTGAATTTTCCTTTCATATGTTCAAATAAAATTTTTCTAAACAGTTTTGTAGACTTTATGGAATTTTTGTTTCATTATTGTGTTTTTTGGGCTTGTGTCTGTGTATGTTGCTTTGAACTGAACCCCAGGCCCTGCACATGCTAGGCAGGCATTTACCACTGAGCTATATCCCAGCCCTTATTAAGTTATTTTAATAACTTACTAAATGTAAGCAGCGGGAGGTTTTCACCCCAGGCTGCAGTGATTGTGGTAAAAAGGTTGAGCACAAGTCTTTAGCCACTTTTGACTGAAACACTGTCTCCACCCTGAGCTGGGCCTCTGGGCTCAGCAGGCATTTGTCAGGTTCATGTTCTCTTCCCTCAGGTACAAAATAACAGCCCTCAGGAATTTTTTTCCCCCTAGCATACCATTAGAAAGTATCTGCTTTGAATTTTCATTAATTGGGGGAGGAAGAAAGGCTCAGTGACCATGTCACCATTTCTCTTCTAGCCTGAAAGCAAGAAGTGACATATTGTAACAGCAAACAATGGACCAGGAGAGGACAGATTAACTTGTATGGAAGAAAAGTAATCTTATTTACTCTTCTATTCTTGGTTGAAGGCCATGGCCTGGAAGACCAAACAAAACCAGGTGGCCTAACTCTGTGTGTGTGTGTGTGTTTAAAATCTGGAGTTCAAGGCATCCACCAAGGTCAGGAACATGAACTGAGGCAGTTGCATGTAAGAGCCATCCTTGGTTGGCGAGGCCACATGTTCCTTCTCGGGGACAAGAACTCACAGCTTTCCCTGGGCCCCTGGGATGTCAACCACAGCCAGGGCAAGGAACCAGCCAGCAAGGTGAAGCCCATCTGCAATCTGTTTTCACATTGCTTTAAAGAGCCGTGAACTATAAAGGAAATTTTCCTTGAGTTTGATTTCATTATCCCTGATGGAACATATTTCATCTTTATGTGTAAATCTGATATTAGACCAGGAACTGGAGGAGAGTGTCTGCTTCTGTCTCTTGGGAGGAGACATCCATGAAACAAGTGATTAGCTCTGGGCCCATTCTTCGTATTTTGCTGTTACCAAGTGTTTCAGAAAAAGGTTGAAAATCAGCCCTCAGTCACTCCCGTGTTCCAGACAGTCTGTGTAGTGCAACCTTCACCAAATGTTTCCAGGGGCTAGATGTGCCTTCATTCTTGGATGCAAGATGGTTCTTGCCAAAATAAAAAGGAAAAAAAAAAAAATTAAGAAAGCCAGAGTTCCTCTGGTGGCCATCCTGGCAAGGAGTACTTAACCTACTGGAAATGGGGATAGAAGCTGACCGTTCACATGTTGACCAGTTCTTGCTCTCTTCCTTATTAATAATGAAAAAGGATTTCTCCTGTTGAGTATTTTGTGCCAGGCCCTTGCTAAAAGTGTTTTGCATATATTAAAAATTTATATACTAAACAAAAATTGGTATATGAGAAAATATCTGCAATGTATCAGTGTATCTCCAGAATATACAAAGAACTACAAATTAATCCAAAGGCATTTAGAGGGCTGGGGTTGTGGCTCAGTGGTAGAGTGCTCGCCTAGCACGTGTGAGGCCCTGGGTTCGATCCTCAGTACCACATAAAAATAAGTAAATAGAGGTTTAAAAAAAGGCATTTAGAAAGAAGGAATGAAAGACGTGAACAGAAAATTAGTAGATGAGGAAATTAAAAAGGCCAATAAATATGAACAGATTATCTATATAAATATAAATGGTAACCAGGAAAATGTAATTATAGTGTCATGTCATTTTTTCACTTGCCCACTTGAGCAAAGCAGAAAGTGTAGCTAGAGGTGTGGGGAAACAATTATCACATGGTGGTAGAGTAAATTGGTTTTTCCCATTCCTGAGAAATTAAAAAATAAAGTGACCCTATGATTCAGCAATTCCAGAAGCAAAGAATAACGTTCAAGGATGTTTTCTATAGCATGTTTTTTTAAAGTAGCAGTTTTATTGAGATATAATTCACATACCCAGTTGACCCATTTAAAATGTACAGTTCAGTATTTAGTATATTGTAGTTGTGCAACCATTACCACTGGGTATTTCAGAACACTTTGTCATCCCCAGAGGAAACCCCAAACCCTCGAGCATTCACTGCCCATTCCCCCTAGACTTTGGCAAGCAAAACCAATCTACTTTCTGTCTATGGGGTTTGCCTTCTCAGGATATTACAAATGGAATGTTGTATGTAGATAACAGTGACTTGGAGTCTGAGGCAGGACGATCACAAATTTGACGGCAGTCTGGGCAACCCGAAGGGGTCCCATTGTATGTATATAACACATTTATCTATCAGTTGATTTCTACCTTTTGGTTTTTATGAATATCGGTCTTATGAATAGTTGGGTATAAGTTAGTTCCCTTAGGAAAAATTCATTTTCTCTCTCTCTCTCTCTCTCTCTCTCTCTCTCTCTCTCTCTCTCTCTCTCTCGTGTAGTCCCTGCCCCCGCAGTGTTGGGGATTGAATCCAGGAGCTTGTGCATGCCAGGCAAGCACTTTACCACTGTGCTACCGTCTCAGCCCTTTTTAAATTTTTGAGACAGGACCCCATCGGGTTGCCCAGACTCCCAAGTCACTGGAATAGCATGCATGTACTACCACACCCAGCACCGGTGGTACCATGCCACTACCAATGTGGCTGTATAGTTCCACAATGGGCACTGGCTCATGGTGAGACTGGGAGAGAAAAAAGGAGAAAAATGCAGATATTCTCCCACTCATCTGCTCCAAGGACCACTTTCCCCAGAAGACTGGTTCTATTGTAGTTTTGCTATTTTCCCCTGCTGCTATGCAGTTCTTGGTTTCAGCCACCCAGGCCAAGGCCAATAGACCAAGAAAAAGACCAACAGCCAGGAGATGGGTCTGCCATCAGGCTTTCTTTATGTTTTGGCTTTTCCTTCCAATCTGCCATTATTACTTATTTTTTAGGCATTTACTTCCCCCTCCCCTCCAGTACTGCTCAGGGGCACTCGGTCACTAAGCTACACCACTAGCCCTTTTTATTTTTAATTTGGAGACAGAGTCTCATTAAGTTGCTGAACTGGCCTTGAACTTGTGATCCTCCTGTCTCATCAAATACACTGTTGTTCTATTTGTTTTAATTCCAAGTATCTGGAATTACGGGCATGACCCATTCTGCCCAGCATTTCAGGCATTTACTTTTTGTGTATTCAAAGTTTTCAGTTATAATTAGCAGGAGAGGAAAGTGAATCCCCTCTTTCCTCCTCTGAAACCTCCTATAGATGTGATTTACTTTTTCCTTGGGCCTGGGGATTGTCTGAGAGACACAGTCAGTTACAGATCCTTGTGCACGAGGCTTGGGATTTATTTCTGGTGATACCATCTCATAAAATCAAAGGTGATTGCTAATTAATTTCATTTCTGGTATCACAGTGATAAAGTCAAGGTAGCCTAATTTCTGCAGCTCAGACTCCTTGAGCCCTGAATGCCTCTATCTCAACAGCATGTGTTGACTGCTCAGCTTAGTGTGGCTAACTAGCTGCCTCCCCTTTCCCAAGTTCTGGTGGCCTTAGCCCAAGAGCTGGATGAGGAATCCCTTGCTGGGGAAATGTCTACAGTGGATCCCAAGATTCCTTCAGTATCACAGGGCTCGTTCCCAAGCTGCAGACAGTGCTGTGGCATAGAGCCCTCAGCTCTTGGCTTTCTTATATACTGCCTTAGAGTGACAGCTTGCCCTCCCAGGGTACCCAGTTTAATTCTAGACACAGACATATAAAGTCCCTCCCTGCCCCTTGTCCTAGCTAATGACAACTTTGAAGAACCATCCTGGCTTCAGTGGTCCTCATGGGGTCAGCCAGGCCCTCTACCGTGGCTGCATCACTGTCCAAAGCCTCCCTCTCTCCAGTGCTCCTTCTATCTTTCCCTTCCAGTTCATAAATGCTGGTTTTAAGGCTTCTCCATCATAAGTTTCCTGCATGCTAACCTCCATCCTAAAATCAGCTTTCCAGGGAACAAACCTGCAACAGCCATTCTTCACCAACAGGTATCCCCAAGCTTCATGAAGTGTTTTCTTTGGGGATACCCCTGGTTTTATGAACCATAGCCAGTAAGCACCATGGATCAGGCCATCCTTGAGAACTGATTTCCTTCCCACCCATATGATGCCTACTATCTTCTGTCTCCCACTCTACTCCTGGAGGTTTAGTGCTATCTCCTGGCTTCAGCCAGCAGGGCATCCTTCCATCCTATCTCAGACTAAGAAGTGCATTTCAATGACCTGCAGGCCACCACACCTGGCAATAACGTTCTCTCTGTGATCCTGATGTCTCCATTACTAAGCTGTTTCCCAAATCAGGGGGCAAGTCCTCAGCCCTTATGGGGGAAATAGTTGAAGAGGGACATGGGGTGTGGCAGATGCCTGTGATTCATCCAGTCCAGCATTCCAGTCCCAAGTCTCTGGATTCTTCCTTAATCCCAGACCAACAGTGTGTTCCAGTCACAGACCCATATTTGGTTCAGGTTGGCATTCGCTCCCTGAAAAATGCTGGCACCATGCCCTGCAGGCAAGCTGGTACAAAATACAGACTCCTGATAGCACATGGTCCTTGCAGTCAGCTTGACCCAACTTACACTGTGCTCCCTGGGCTGTTTCGCCACACTTCTTCAACCAGTCTCAGCTTTTAAGAGCTGTAAGTTGATATGTTCTTGCCATTTCTTCTGAGTTCTAAGTGTTCCTCTTCTCCCTACCTTGATTCTGAGTTGGCCCTTGGGGCTATGCTGAGGAAAAGTTCTGTTCCTTTAGGGAACATCGTGGTGGCAGGAGGGGAACAGTCAGCTCTCCCTTGCAGGGATGTAGTTTTTTTGGGCTTCTGGGTATTTCAGAGGAATTGTAAGATGTCTGGTTCCTGGTTCTTATATTCCTTCCAAAGTCACTGTGCCATGGTCAGCATCCCCAACTTTCCTGATTAACACCCCAACATGAATGTGAAGCCTAGGTCAGAGCTATGAGTCTATGATGAATCATGCTCCCCCAGCCCCAAACTCAGATTGTTGAAGTCCTCACCT